AAATGGTGGTCAGGGGCATGGTTCTGAGGGCTTTAAAAGAAGAGGAGAGTCTGTCTTTCTCCCTCTGCTCTCTCTGCTTATACCACCTTGCAATGTAAGACCACTGGGGGTCACTGTTGCCACCACCAGATGGACTTTGGACTTCGCAGACCTAAGAAAATGTAAGCGAATAAATTTCATTTTCTTTATACATTACCCACTTTGAAGTGTTTTGTTAGAAGCAACACAAAATGGACTAATATTTAGTAAGAAAAAAATAAAAGAAAAAATCATTAATTTTTATACTGATTACATGTGGAAATGATATTTTAGATATTACTGGTTTAAAAGAAATCTAATTAAAATTAATCTCACCTATTCCATTTTGCCTTTTTAAACGTACTCACTAGAAAATTTAATATTACTTATTTGTGGCTTACACTTGTAGTTTTCATTACACTACTACTGAACAGCACTAATCTAGAATAAACTGCAATTGAATAAATACAAGATACATACAGTATTTCCCTGAAGGAAATATAAGCTGGATATTTTTAAGTAGGCTTACCCATCGTGGTGGTGGTGATGGTGGTGGTGGTGATGGTGATGTTGTGGACCAATAAACTGCCGACAATTAAACAGTTCATTCCCAATAGTCTCCCCAAGGAAGTCCCCAGTTCGTGTGATACAAGACTCCTGAGACCCTTGTGCTATATGACCAGCGTTCATTTCCCCTGAAATATCAGGTTCTGGGTCTTCAGAGTGTGAACAGGCTTCCAGCATTCGTATTCGATTATCTACTGATGGCAATGCCTCAGCGTTAAAAACTAGGTCCTTTCCTGTTCCACTGCTTGTCCCATTTCTTTCTGATGGGCCTTGGGAATCCCCCAAGCAAATGCCTGCTTGGCTTTCTAACTTTCTGTTGCAAAGATCTGTACCACAGCTGCTTTTGGGAGGATTATGACCATGATCGTCATCTTCATCTTCTTCTTTAAGGGCTTCAATATCTGCAATGTCCTCTGATTGTACCTCACTTCCAGGGCTCCCTGCTGACTGGCTTGCATGGCTAGAATTGACCTCATTGCTAGATCCATCACTATGTCCACTACTGCTACCAGGACCACTGCTTCCATCTTCACCACTGTTGGCAGTTTCATCAGAACTTCCCTGCATGGATTCCTGTATTGATAAATAAACATATTGAAATAAATATTTAAACTAGTAAGAAAAAAGTAACTGATGTTAACACACTGTACTTTTTTAAAAGGCTTGTCATATTCCTTTGAACAAGGCAAAAATGGAATTAAAAACTCAAAGAAATGGATACCAAAAATACTACTTAAAGGAGAGGAGAGGCCTAAACATGGATTACATTTGTATCACCAGTTCAAATGGTAAACATGGCAGTAACTCCAAAGTCCCTTTAAAAA